GAAGAGGGGCTTCACTGCTAAACACCTCCCTGTCTTCACTTACAGTAAGGAGGCAGACCTCCAGACGGACTATCCTTTCATCAGAGATGACTGCTTCTACTGTGGCTTTGTACAAGACAAGCCTTCCTCCTGGGTCACCCTCAGCACTTGCTCAGGAGGCCTCAGGGGTCTGTTGCACTTAGAAAATGACACCTATGAAGTTGAACCTATCCAGGTGCCTGCTGCTGCTTCTCAACACATGGTGTATAGGTTGGAAGAAAAGGAGAATGCTTTTAACATGAGGTGTGGGCTAACAAAGGAAGAGCAGAGTCATCAGTTGGCCTTGATCCAAAATACAAAGAATTCAGCAGCCCCAAGTGCTGCTGCAGGAGTCTGGTGGGCACACACCCGGTATGTGAAGCTTTCAATTGTGATAGAGCATCAACTATATGTCAAGTTTAACAGAAATGAAAGTCATGTTACTATGGAAGTTTTGGATGTCATCCACACTTCAAACTCACTATATGAGCCACTTGCTGTTGAGTTGTCTATAGCTGCACTGGATATATGGTCAGCAAGGAACCCCATAAAAGTTGTTAATGATATGGATATTACACTAGAGAATTTTAATCTCTGGAAAAGAGAATCACTCACTAGGCATATACAAAATGATGCTTCTCATTTATTCATAAATAAGAATTTTAGACTTTACACCTGGAAAAGCTTTCCTAGGAATGATTTGCAATCAATATATGGCAATTGGTGTTGAATCATATATGGGTTTTAGTTTGTTCGAATTTTCTGTCATATTTACTCATGAATTAGGACATAATCTTGACATGCAACATGATGGAAAGTACTGTAAATGTGATCGGCCTGAATGCATTATGGCTGCATTTCACACAAACTCTGATAAGTTTAGCAATTGCAGTTACAATGAGTACTACAAGCTAAGGAACAATCCATGTTTATCCATTCCACCAGTCTCTGATAAAATGTTTAAATCTCCATACTGTGGCAACAAGGTAGTGGAAGATGGAGAGCAATGTGACTGCGGTTCTCCAGAACAATGCAAGTTGGATCCATGTTGCCAGTCTAATTGCATGCTGCGCCCAGGTGCCACTTGTGCTTTTGGACAGTGTTGTGCTGAGTGTCAGTATCTTCCAGCTCATTATGTCTGCAGAGATAGGAGTAGCCCCTGTGACCTCCCTGAGTACTGCAATGGAACTTCAGAGTGGTGTCCTGAAGATGTTTATGTACAAGATGGCACCCCGTGTAGTGATGGTGTACACTGCTAACATGGAAATTGCACAACTCACAGTGGGCAGTGTAAAATGATATTTGGCAACAACCGGTGCTTCAAGGACTTGCTTCAGTCATATGAATGGTCAAGGTCATCGTTTTGGCAACTGTGGCCTTAGACATGGAAATTATAAGAAATGCAGTGCTAAGAATATTCTGTGTGGCTGAATCCATTGTGAAAATGTTGGTGTATTACCCTCTTTGAAGGAACACAGCAGCATAATTCAAACGAAAATTAGAAACAAGATGTGTTGTAGTACAGACTATCACAGTGGACTGGAGATAGCAGATACTGGGGCAGTGAGAGGTGGCACCCCTTGTGGCAAGAACATGATGTGTATTAATGGGGAGTGCAAGAGTATATCCCTCTTGAGGAATGAATGTAATGTCACAAAGTGCCATTATAGGGGAATATGCAACAACTACCAACATTGTCATTGTGTTTCTGGCTGGACCCCTCCTGACTGTCTAAACAAAGGTCTCGGTGGCAGCATTGACAGTGGGCCCGCTCCACGAGGGTACATTTGGAATCGTAGTGCCAGCAGAGCAGGAACTGCAGATGTACTTGGATTAGTCATTTCTGCTACTGTTGTTGGCCTAGGTATTTATTTCCGGAAAAGACTGAGATAGAAGTTTTCACATTTAAGTGGAAGAGTCCATCAGCACAATTAATAAGTTTGGATTCTGGAGCAAATCACAGAAAAGAGCAATGGACAACTTGCCAGATACAGAGGAAGCAACAGACTGTGTTATGTAGATATATATTTGAATATTTAAGCATTTCATTATATTAAACTAACATAGAGGTTACCAAGGCATAGACTACAGAAGTGAGGCTATACCTGTCCAGATAAGGGCATAGCTGGGCCACCAGCTGAAACTGATGGAAGGCACTTCATGCCACCAAGGCCACCTGAGCCTCAAGTGACAGCAAAGGATCCAGAGGTACCCCCAAGATACGCACCTGCACCTTCAGAGGGAGTATAATCCCATCAAGAGCAGGCGATCTCCCATCCAACTGGTCTAGGGAACCACCTACTAACAGTGCCTCAGTCTTTTTTCTCTATCTTTTTTATTGAAACCTTTCGGCATACAATACAATAAAATATAAACTAAATAAAAAAGAAAACAATGAAAAAGAAAAGAGAAAAAGGAGGAATAAAAAGCCCTCTACCAGAGGTAGATCTTTACCCTTGTCTCACACAAAAAGGGTGGACCTTCCCAGCTCTCACCTGGGGGCTTCCCTTTCTTCTCCCAGCCTCCCACTCTGGGAGATCTTCTCTTCCCTGCCTCTCACACAGGGTCCTTCACCATTCATCTGTCACCTTCCTGTGCAAACCCTCATTAACCTAGAGAAGATGTCACAAAACAAAACAAGCAAGAGTGAAGTGGACCGAAAAGAAATAACAGAAATAAAGATCATAAAAAATAGAGAGAAAAGAGAAATAAATAAAAAGGACTTCTGATTCGCCATCTGTCAATTATGAATATAAAGATTATTCAGAGTATTCACTCCAGGATGGTATCCAGCTGTATTGCAGGATAATATTCAGCTGTTCCTTAGTATGCCGGACAGTGTTTTCCCAATCTTCAATACTAAATCATTTCCACACAAAAGTCCAAAAGGGGTATTCAGTTGTCCCCTTCCTGCTAGTTTTTATCAGCCAAGAGGGGTGAGGCCTCAGAGTGCAAGTGGTTATCTTAACCAATCCAAGCAACTTGTCTACTTCCTCAAGCCTTACTAACTGAAACTCATCCAACACAACAGGACTAGACAGTGCTCTGCACACCCCTTGAGGTTCATATGCTGTAACAGTAGAGTCGATATCTTGGTAGATGCAAACAATTTTATCATCAAAATGCTTTGCAAACAATTCACAGTGAGTTGCTGTCAGTTCTTGCCACCTCCTTCAGGCTGAACTATAAAAGGCTCCACACTTCTAGTAAAAGCTCTGTCAGATGGCACAAGGAAGGTGCAATGCTGAATAGCTTAGTTGGTTAGAGCATAGCGCTGATAATGCCAAAAGTCTTTCCAAAATCAGGAAGAAAGCTTTAATTTTCTGTAGGAATGGATTTAGGCACTATGACAGGAGATATTACTGTATTTATCCTTCCTTGAGTGAGGTCAGCAGAACACCACCACCCTTTGCAGCTTTAAATTTGGTAAGATAAGGTCAATTTAACCTTCTAGAAACAATGATCTGGGATGTTTTAAGGCAGTCTGCACCTTCCCTAGTATTACCTCTTTTCACCCCCTTTAAAGTAACAATCTCACACACACACACACACACACACACACACACACACACTGTTTTGTGAAGAAGTAAAAGTAATATTTACTTACATAATCTAGGTCTTGAAGCAGTTACAGCAGCAAAACGAAGGCAGATTTATAACTACAGTGGTACCTTGGTTCTCAAACATAATCCATTCCGGAAGACCGTTCAACTTCCGAAACCTTTGAAAACTGAGGCACAAAGGGCTGGCTGCAAGTTCAATTGGAAAAATTGAAAAACACGCAGTAGAAGCTGTTCTACTTCTGAGGCGCATTTGAAAATGGAAGCAATTACTTCCAGATTTTTGGCGTTCAAAAACCAAAACGTTCGGCTTCCGAGATGCTCAAAAACCAAGGTGCCACAGTATTATCTAACTTACAAAAGTAACTCTGCCTTGCCAGAGTGGTGCATGCTCTGATTATCTCCCACTTGGATTACTGCAATATGCTCTACAGGGGTGCCAAATTGAATAAAATATTGAGGGGGGGCAGGTAAGCTACGCCCCACATAATTTATCACATGATGCGGCACACACCCACACCCACACACCAATTGAATGGCAATGTCCATCAACTTTGGTGGGTCCCAGCCAGCTCAAATATTTTACTGGGGGGGGGTAGGGACATCAGCCCCTAGGAGTTGGCTCCTGTGGTGCTCTATGTGGGGCTACCATTGAAGCCGACTCAGAAACTACAACTAATCCATAATGTGTTAGCTAGACTGGTGACTGGGAATAGCTGCCGGGACCACATAACACCAGTCCTAAACTGTCTACATTGGCTCCCAGTACGTTTCCGAGCACAAATCAAAGTGTTGGTGCTGACCTTTAAAGCCCTAAACGGCCTTAGCCCCGTACATCTGAAGGAGCATTTCCACCCCCAACGTTCAGCTTGGACACATAGGTCCAGTTCCGAGGACCTTCTGGCAGTTCCCTCACTGCAAGAAGTGAAGCTATAGGAACCCAATCAGAGGGTCTTCTTGGTAGTGGCGCCCACCCTATGCCATGCCCTCCAATCAGATGTCAAACAGATAAACAGCTATCTGACTTTTAAAAGACATCTGAAGGCAGCCCTCTTTTAGTGTTTGATGTTTTATGGTGTTTTTATATTTTGCTGAAAGCTACCCAGAGTGGCTGGAGAAACCTAGTCAGATGGGCAGTGTATTAATAATAATAATAATAATAATAATAATAATAATAATAATAGTAATAATAATAATAATATTTTCAAAATGGTGTGTCAGCTGCAGAGCTCAGACATGCATGTGTGGTCAGCTTGGAGGCATAATGAAGAAAGAGAGATGCCTAGGCAGCAAGGACGTATATAGTGCTACAGCTTCCTGCCAAGGCAAACAAAGGAAGGGATCTTACAGAGTTCTCTCTAGAAAATTTTGGATGAAAGCTCTGTGAGTCTCAGCCCCATCATGTGTCTATCTCACAAAACATGAATGGTTGCTTTGGGGTGCAATAATGTACCAAAATTTCACCCAATGTATTTTAGAAATCTGTCAATTTGTTTTTGTTATTGCAGTATAAACATATTTAAATCATCTCTCATAAACCAACTTGTAATACACAAAAGTATTTACACAATAATATTGCAGAGTAAAGGATACTCAAACCTACGTATTTCCTAAAGATACTTATTTGGCATTTCCCCCTGCCCATAAGAAATTTGTCATTTTCTTGCCATTCTTTTCATGCCTTTTTTGTGTATATGTCAGGGATAATGTAAATTTAGTGGTTAATGTACATAACAACCAGACATTCAAACACCTCTACACTGCTGTTTGAACTTTGGAAAACCAGAGGTTCAAAAAGCAGCATGGGGCTGTTTCAAAGCCCTTAGCAAACAGCCTTGCACTTCTGCTTTAAACATCCAAATTCCAGAGGTTTAATGCAGCAACATGAGGCTGCTTGCAAAGGGCTTTCAAACAGCCACACACTTTAAAGTCCTTCAACTCAGGGCTTCAAAGCACAGCAGCATCCCCCAATGTCACTATAATGCCAGGTGACTGATGGGTGGGCAGCCCTACTCACCTGTCAAATTTGATATCTCCCCATTGGCAGGCCAATGTGGTCTCCCAGCCAGAAAGTATTTTCCACCATTGCTAGACACCCTCTGTTGTTATTTTCCCATTCTGTTCCATCATGGATACTTCAAACTCCGCCCACATTCCAAAAAGTGATTCTACTCACTGTTGCTATGGTCAGAATCATCCTCCTTCTTTATCCCACATGCAGTCTCCTTCCAGTCTTGCTACAGGCCCACCTGCAGCTACAGAGGGCTTCCTTGCCCTGTATAAGAAGCTGGAGTAGAGTAATTTAGCAGAAATTTTTGTCTCTTGGTGGAAATGATCAGCAATTCTGCCAGCTTGTTAATACTGATACTACGGAATGCCCTGGTTGAGGCTGCAGGTCAGACACCACCGAAGGGTTATAGGTATGCCTCTTATGAAGTGACCACTCCTAGAAAACTGACCTATGGTTATGGACAACAAGAACCCAGTGATGTCACCTACCTGCTGCAGATTGAGGGGCAGGGTCATGTGGTGCAGCTGAAGCAAAAGAGGGGTATTGTCCCTAAACAACTCCCTGTCATCACTTACAGTAAGGAGGGGGACCCCCAGATGGACTATCCTTTCATCAGAGATGACTGCTTCTACCATGGCTTTGTACAAGGCAAGCCTTCCTCTTGGGTTACCCTCAGCACTTGTTCAGGGTGGCTCAGGGGTGTGCTGCACTTTGAAAATAACACCTATGAAATTGAACCTGTTCAGGTATCTTCTGCTTCTCAACACGTGGTGTATAGGTTGGAAGAAAAGGATGGGGCTATCCGCATGAGGTGTGGGTTAACAGAAGAAGAGCAAAGCCATCACCTGGCCATGATGCAAACCACAAGGAATATATTGACCCACAGTGCTGCTGGTGAAGGCTGGTGGGGACACACTAGGTATGTGGAGGTTGCAATTGTGGTAGAACATGAACGATATGTCAAGTTTGGCAGAAATGAAAGTCGTATTGTTATGCAAGTTCTGGATGTCCTCCACACTGCCAATGCACTATATGAGCCATTTTCTGTTGAATTGTCTATATCTGCACTGGAGATATGGTCAGAAAGGAACCTCATTCAAGTTACTAACAGTATAAATGACACACTTAAGAGTTTCTCACGTTGGAGAACAGCCTCACTAGTTAAACATATAAAGAATGATGCTGCTCACCTATTTGTATATAAGAGTTTTGGAAGTACATTTGGATTAGCATACATAGGCACAGTTTGTAGTACCCTTTGGGCATCTGGTGTTGAATCCTATATGACTTCCAGTTTGTTCCATATTTCTAACACATTTGCCCATGAATTAGGACATAATCTTGGCATGCAACATGATGGAAGATACTGTACTTGTGATCGACATGCCTGCATTATGGCTGCAGATCAAGCTAACGCTGATAAATTTAGTAATTGCAGTTATAAAGATTATTACAAAATAAGGAACTCTCATTGCTTGTTAATTCCACCAGACCCTTATAGAACGCAGAAAATCACATCTTGTGGCAACAAAGTAGTGGAAAATGGAGAACAATGTGACTGTGGTTCAAAACGTGAATGTAAGTCAGATCCATGTTGCCGATCTAATTGTATGCTGCGTTCTGCTGCTACTTGTGCTTTTGGACTTTGCTGTGCTAAGTGTCAGTATCGTCCAGTTCATTCTGTTTGCAGACAGAATGTTGGCCGCTGTGATCTTCCTGAATACTGCAATGGGACTTCAGAATGGTGTCCTGAAGATGTGTATGTACAAGATGGTGCCCCATGCGGGGATGGTGCATACTGTTACCATGGGAATTGCACAACCCATGACAGACAGTGCAGAATGATATTTGGCAAGAAAGCAACAGCTGCTTCAGAGGTTTGCTTCAAAGAGATGAATGCCCGAGGTGATCGCTTTGGCAACTGTGGCCTTAGTCATGGCACTTATAAGAAATGTAATGCTACCAATAGCTTGTGTGGTCGAATTCAGTGTGATAACATTACTAAGTTACCTTCTTTGAAACAACACAGCACAATATTTCAAATACCCATTGGCAATAGGAAATGCTGGGGTACGGACTACCACATTGGAATGGAGATACCTGATATTGGAGCAGTGAGAGATGGGACTCCTTGTGGCAAGAGGATGATGTGTATTAATGGGGAGTGCAAGAGTGTGTCCCTCTTGAAATATGATTGTAATGTGACAAAATGCCATAATCGGGGAAGATGCAACACTTACAAACATTGCCATTGTGATTATGGCTGGGCTCCTCCAGATTGTCTCAATGAAGGCTATGGTGGCAGTATTGACAGTGGCCCCCCTCCACCACGCAGGATTGGCTACAAAGTAGGAATTTTTATAGGAATTGTATCTATCCTTTTCCTTCTGTTGGTGTTGGTTTAAGGGAAATGGACTGAGAAACTAATTTAAAAGACTGAGTTCAAGATTCCTTCAAACTGAATCTAAACAGGAGTAAAACCCACAATAAATCATGGAAGTCAACAATGCACATTGTATAAAAAATATACAAAGAAAATAATAGGCAATATTTTACAAAAATGTAACTTTGAGTCTGAAAGCTTTTGAGTATTATTATTTCACTACCTTTTGTGGAGTTACTCTCCTTAGCAAATCAGTTTATGAAAATCTTGGTCTCATCAACAGGTAAGAAACCTGCTTTTTATCAAGGCTATCTATCCTCTAATCCTCTGAAATGTTGTTCCACTAAATACCGAGGGAAACATCTGCTTTCTGGAATGGATAACTGCACACTGAGCAAAAGCCACATTTCCCAATATCATTATTTCCCCACAGAAACCTTCATAAGCACTGCTGCTATGCGAATGCCTCTTCCCAATACACATTGTGCATCATAACACACATAAGATGATGCTATAGCATCCCCTGATCTATCAACGCTGGAGCCAGCAATGACCCAACTACTTTAAGTCTTACAGGCAGGTATTTTAGTCGCTCACACAGCCCTCTGGGACAATGGAATAAGGGATCAAGATGTGGTTCTGACGGGAGGTGCTAAACCTTCAGCCACACACATTGAAGGGAAAGATGAGCAGTGAAAGGGAGGAGACAGACCATGCAATAAAGGCAGCCACAAACACAAACTGACAGCATTCCTGCTCCAGTGGCTCACTCCATATGGCAGTGATGGGGAACGAGACACCCTCCAGATAGTGTTGGATGATCAACCCCCAGTTAAAGATTTTGGGATTTGTAGTCCAGCAACATCTGGAGGTTCCCCATTCTTGCCATAGAGCATGGGGTTGGGAAGCAGAATATGAAATTTTGAGCTGCACCAGGAAGAAAATGACCTCATCTTTTTCATGCCTTGCAAAAAAAGAAGAGAAAAGATTGAGTCAGGAGGAAAAGAGAGTTCCAAGATCTCAAACGCAGACTGCAAATACAACAGGGAATTCCATAAGTACTTAACGATCTGACACATCATCAACCATTTGCCTCTCTCACTCCTGCACCCCAATCATAGATGCCAGGAAACTCAGGGGCTGGAGGAAGAGGAGGCCTTATTTGTAGAACTGCTTGTGTTGGGAACAGGTGATGATAATCAGTGGGTCAGATGTTGAGCTCCTTCATGTGGGCTATTTTGACTGGTGGGTAGCAAAGGGTGGAGGCTCGCCCTGAATTCAGGTACACTTAAGCAAACCAGGAGAAGTACTGCATGAACCAATAGTCATGCATGTACCAAAGAGTCCTGTTGACCCACCTTCTCTCAGCAATCCATATGACCAACCTTCCCCTGCTATTTTGTCCAACAGGCAACCCTCATGGCTGGCATCCTAACAGGCTTAATTTACCCACCCACCCCCATTTCTCCCTCTCTCACATCTCCCTGCTACTCCCTCCTGCCCTTGAGGGTTGCTCCTGTAAGGCTAGCAATGGCAATATTTATAGAGTGGAGTGCCTGGCTTCAACCAACACAAAGCTTACCTGCCTATGGAAATGAGAGTGTCTCCTCTGTGTGGATGCTGTTGCTTCCCACTGTCGAGGAGGAATAATGTTGGAGCACTGCAGTATAGGCAAGGCATATGGCAAAGGTGGCGGTATGAGAAACTTCACAATGTATAATTGTTATACACTCCAGGCAGTTTGCAAAGATCTGTTTAGTGAATTTTTTAAGGGTGTTTTTTTTATTGTGAGATATTACTTGGGTCACACACTGCTGTGGCTATTTCTGGGCAATGGTATCTCCTCACTGTCTTTTATTGTTTATCCTGTTTGATCTGGTGACTGCACATTTAAAAAAATTTCTGTGATTTTATCTGTAGTGTTTGTTGTTCAGAGACATGTTTATATAAATAATAGACAAATAAACATTTGAAAGCACTAAATTGATAAATCCAGTTGTCAAATATTAGCTATAGCAACCTAAATTTGTTATTACTTCAATAGTTATTACTTCCACTACTGTGCCTTGCAACCCACATCTTCCTGATAGAGCCTACGCCTGTGTGTACAGAGAAACAGATGCTGCCAAATGGTTAAGTCTGGTACCGCACTCTTATTGTAAGAAACCCAAGATGCACCCTGTGAAGGAGGCTGATTTGCATGTTTGGTGGAGCTGTAACATATGCTTAACTTTAACTGTTGATATATGTTCAGCAACAAATGAGTGCTTGGGACACGTTTGCCTCCTCTCCAATAACCCTCAATAAGTTTTAAAAGAGCTCATTTCACCCTAAGCACAAGTGCCCCTGGCAGTGCAAGGGTTAAATTCTGCTGAAGATTAAAATGGTCTTCCTTTGTGAAATGAAGATTTGTTGCTTGCTGTTAGATGTACTATTGATGTGCCGAGAGCTTGGAGATCTGCTAACTCCTGCAATAAAGACCTGTGCTGTAAGTACTATCAGCCAAGATCACTATAAGTGGGCACTTTCTTCCTGGCTGAAATCTCTACCAAGAAGGAACGTGTTTGAGTCACATCGACATCTGGGATCTCACCTGCATTTACAATTGGCTGATGGTGCAAAGACCAGAAGTTGCTACAGGAATGATTTGCTGCTGCTTGCTGGTTGGAATACAAATCTGCACCCGTCACTGATTGCCTAAAGTATTTGCAATGCACCCAGATTAACATACTGGAGATATTATATTACAACACTATCAAGTTTATGCATCTTCTTGCAAATTACAATGGACCCCACATCCCCACATCATGACTGCATCCTTGAATCAACCATGAAAAAACAAAGTCAAAGGATTACACTGAAACCTTGGGAGGAGGTGGGCAGTTTTGAACTTTGGGATAACTTTATGGTTTTGTCTATTTTACCAGTCTCTTGTTAATGTGGTTTGCTAAGCTGAATAAATATGGTCATTTGGGCCTTACTTCAGGTAAGTGGAGATGGAAGAACTGCTATCCAAACATCTTTTGTGGGATTCTAGGTTTTACGGAATGAGGGTTTGACCTAGTTCTAAATACAATAGGAAAATAATTCCTAGTTACTGACATAAGGGTTATATCTGCATATTCCCATCTACTTTCAGAATGTTAGTAAATAGTGAAAGTGGAGGTCCCCATCAAATACATGCTATGTGCATACCCCAAATCCTGCATGCCCTACATGCCTATGTTTCTACTGTCAGTTTATTGGACTCTCTTCCATTTCTTGGTCCTTTGCGTCTCAACTTCCCATTGCATTTAATTTGCAGTCCCAGTCGCAATGCCTCCCCTCCCAGCATGTGACCAAATTGAGATGTAATAGACCAAACGTGCACAGACAGTGGTTTGGATTAAAAATGGCCACAACTTTATTGATCACAGGTATAGGTGGAATTTTGGCTCAGGCATTGGGTGTATATCCATTCCAGCCTTATAATAAATAATAATAATAATAATTTATTATTTGTACCCTGCCCGTTTGGACTAGGTTGCCCCAGCCACTCTGGGAAGCCTTCTGCCAGAGGTGCTGGAACATTTTCAGGGTAGTGCCAAAGATTATGGCCTCACCAACTTGCTGATCTAGGGTCACCGCTGAAAGCTCTATGGCCCATCAGTCTCATTCTTGGCTTCTGGACAGATACATCCACCGAGATCTGTCTAATGGGTAACCCGGAATATGTTCCTGGGTCAGGACAGGGTGATACACCACTTTACCCAAAACCTGAAGACTTGGATTCCACCCAGTGCTTTAATCACTAAAAGTTGTGGTGTTTTGCTGTGGGGAAGGCAAAACCTCAAGACGGTCCAGTTCATCTGCAGGCAAATTCCTTCCCGCCTAGCAACCATAGCAAGGAAGGCATAAGGAATCAAAATCAGTTAGACGGAGTACAACCTAAGGAATAAAGCAGGGTTAAAGCAGCAACCTGAAAAGTGAAATATGGTTAAACATTATAGGACATTGACCTACATATGTAAAAAACAATTAAATAAAAGGGAGGAAGGGTAAGATTGCTCTTTGGCCGACAATGCTGCAGAAGGCAAGTGCAGAGAGCTCTTTTAAGGTGTTGCTGCCTGGTGCAGGCATGGCAGAAGCCAATGTTTGGCTAGCCAGCAAGGCACTGCCCAACTGGTGGGGCCTCTGATTGGCCCCTTTGAAGCTGGGGTTAAGAAGAGAAGTTCCAGGACTTCCGGGTTGGCGCCATCGCCGAATGGCGGACTCCCTCCGAGCTCCGGAGGGAGCCTGCTCGGCAGGGGCTGGGTCCTTCCGCGCCGGCGACGCGGGGACCCTTAAAAACCACGGGCACGGAGACCGTGGACATGGGTGACTCGGCTGGCACCGTTAGCGCCCTCCCGACTCGTGAAGGAGCCTTTTTAAAGGCTACGGATCGGGTGCCAGGGAGTGGCGTGGTGCTTTGAGTCCTCTGCTTTCCCTGCCGAGCGAAGCCGCATGCCATCCGGCGGAGAGCGCTGACTTCTTCCATTGAAAATTCGGACTTTTAACAACAACCCGTGAGTAATTGGGAAACCGGGTTTAAAAGGAGAAAAAAAGGAATCTTTTTTCGGATTTGGCACGAGCGGGGGGGGGGATCCAAAAAGGAAGTCAGTCCCCCTCCCTACTGTAAACATTTTAAAACAAGGACTGGGTAACCAAGGTCTAGAAAGAAGCGTATTTCTGACAAAAATTAAGAATTCCACGATGGAAAACTACAAGAACTGTGCTGGAGGAGAAGAGTGGAGGGAGAAGGAAAACGTAACCCCCCCTGGGAACCGGGGCGATTTGTGAGAGAGCCTGGCAAAAAGAGACGGAGACTTTGACAGCTGTCAAAGTAGCTGTCAAAGTCGGAAAATTTAAAGAGGACTCTGCTATGAGGACTTTGCTAGTTAATTTCGTTACAATTTGCTACGATTTGGATACAAAATGTTGAAAATATGGAACAACAATCGGTCTTTTGGATCAGAGGAAACAAAGCTACTACAATCCCCCTAGAGCAGTGTTTCCCAACCTTTTTTGGGCAAAGGCACACTTCTTTCATGAAAAAAATCTCGAGGCACACCACCATTAGAAAATGTTAAAAAATTTAACTCTGTGCCTATATTGACTATATAAAAAGTACAGTGGTGCCTCGCAAGACGAAATTAATTCGTTCCGCAAGT